CTCACTGAGACGTATTTAGCTGTCCATTCTGTGTAATATGCTCAGCGTTCACTGTCGACTCTCTTCTTTTCCACGCCATTCTTTTTTGTTTGCAACAGCAGAGGGGATGTCGACAGTACTTAGCAATGGTGACATTGTTACAGGCTTGCTAAGGGCCTAATAAAAAGAAAATGACTGCACCAATTATTGGAATTTAACAGACACATTAAGCAACAAAAGGTTGCAGAATATGAGGGCTACAGGTTTAAATCCTGTGATTCCTAAAACATGAGGCTTCAGATTTTACAATGCTGTGAATAGAAATGTCAGCTCAAGGCGAAGTTAGAACCTAATTTGAATAATATTTAGTCATGGGAGAACATTTTCTTACCATTGTTTTGCATCTTTTTCTCATACACAATGATACAAAGTCGCCCAGTAGCAACACGGCCTGCAGTTAACAGGCTGGTCAAGAATTGAAAATAGAATCCATTGTATCGCGTCGTCCCCAAGAGGGTTTCGTGGAAGTGGAACACATTTAAATTAGAAAGTGCGAGAGAGAAAGATGAGGTTTGTACTCGTGGTCTTCCTCTGAACGACAAGTGTGTTCCTCCTCCTCCTGTCCTCACTCCCTCCCGGGGGAGCGGAACAAACATTCTCCTGATGACATGAATCATACATGAGCATGCATGTGTGCCATCGTTCCGCGTGAGTGCACTGAGATACGGTGTTTTTTCGGGAGAACCTGCTCCTTTAACTCTGTGTCTCTGAGTGCCAGCGCTACCTGCATTCCAAATACCACACACACACACACACACTCCAATGGATATCTCCTACATGGCTCTCCTCCCCCTTTCGTTTCTCCCTCTCTGCTTCATCAATCACTTAAGCTCTCCCACTGCTAACTGCAAAGCTGGACCAATTAAGCCTTCTAATTGAGCCAATACGCAATTAAACACTCAGATGCACCCTGGAATTCTGGAGGTCCCTCAATGCGCACGCCAGCATGTTGAATTCAAGGATTCTGGCATATCTTGGCCTTTCCTCTCCTTTGCCTGGTCTTGAGGTCGAGGGGTCAGTGAAGAAGCACCTCATGTGGCTTTTACTAAAAAAACTCTGAAGAGTCTCCGCTGAACACAGGGACGCTTTTCATTCACACCAGAACATGTCTACTTCTCATCTCTCATGCAACCCTGCTTTTTCTCCCACTCTCTCTTCATCTCCGTCTTCCCATCTCCCAGTCCTTTTCATGTGTTTTTAGAGGATGAAAGTTTAATGGTAAATGTGCGTGGGTTGGAGGGCTCGTCCCTGCGCGCCGAGCAACGCACGCCGGCCTCTGCGGTTTCATTAGAGCCCACACCGCGCTGCCCGCTCCCGCTACGAGAGGGTACACTCCCAGGCACACACATGGCTGCGTGGGTAGAACGACAACGTCCACACTGAGAGGAACAAAGGCAGCCACCAATATATTTGGGCTGAACGCACTGTACCAAAAGAACACAATGAGCGATTACACTGCACTCGCTCGCAATTACCGCTCTCTGAGAGGACGCAAATGTGTCTTAACCACATTTTTTTCAAACTGGAGCACCCTCTAAGAGCCTGTTGTACATTAGAAACTTTACATTGAATGAGCCTCCTTATTTGTATGTCTTACATCAGTGTGAGTGAGACTGGTCCCATGAGCCTATACACTCTAATTACCTGTCGTCATGCCTCGGGACACTTAACTTTCACATTTTAAATGGCTTTATTGGCAGTGTGAGAGTGTGAGAAATACAATAAAAACAAAGAGTCGCTTCAATGGATGCTGGCGATGCAGTAAGACGGTTAATGATAGCTTCGAATGGGACAATTATGGCGTGGTGATAAAGCAAGACAGGACGTAAAAAAAAGAGATCAACGGTGAATTTCTGTAATCAGATATCATGAATAAAAGAGTGGGTGAGAACATAAAAGGGATTTATTTTCTTCTGCACTGTCTGCATCACTGCAAGGGTGATCGCCCCCGACCATTACATAACACCACGCAACAATGTTATGACGGTATAATCTCCTGCATGCGCCGTGCATTTCTGACATGAGGATTTGCACTTTTCCGCAGTAGATTACATGAATGAGTGTACAGTGTGGGAACTCATTGAGTGTACAGTGCGGGTCAATTAAGGCTTACATGTGTGTGTGTGTGAGACTCTGTGCTATGCATGCAGCCCGAAAGGGTCCTGGGTCCTGGTCCTAAGCTGCTTACATGCGCACATTATTGCCCTTTGACCTTACTGGGCAGTGAAAGGCTCACCCTTATCTCGAGCCTCCACTCCTCGTCCATGCAGTCTGTTGTATTTATATCTCCAGAAGCGGCGCTGAAAGCCTTTAAGAAATTAATAACCATAAATATTGAGGCATCAGAAGCAGGGTTGTTGGAGTAAGACTTGATGTAGACTACATTAGCTCCCTGCTCAGATGTGTTAGGGGTAAGCTGGCAGGTTAAACACAGTTCAACAACAAGGTTTTGGAGCGTATCCTCATACATGTCAATTGAGGACAGGGTGAACATGTCCAATTTAGGGTTTCATGCATAAAAAGTAAGACTGCTCATGTAGAAATGTGCACTCGAAATAGAGTAAACATGACATTTCCATGGGTTAGATTATGTAGCAAAAGCCAGAGGAAGTAGAATCAGCTTGCATTTGATATTTCCTACATGCAGGAAAACTGTGTTTTTTTTCAACCTGTGATGCAATGATGACCAAAACATGTTGATCATCACCAGTGTTGGGCAAGTTACTTCCAAAATGTAATACAGTACATATGACTTATTACTGTCTTTTTAAAGTAATAAGTTACATTACAATATTACTGTCTCTGAAATGTAATGAGTTACACTACTTTTATATTACTTTTGAGTTACTTTACCAAAATAACCTCAAAAGAATGGCTAGGTATTTTAAATGCTAAAATGTAGTTTAGTGCAGCTCATTATACATAAGATAAGATAAGATAAGATAAGATAAGATAAGATGGTACTTTATTGATCCCAATTTGGGAGAAAATAAACAAGAATAGAAAGAAAATAAAAGAAAATAGAAAATATACATGTTGAATTTGACAAGATATTATATATACAAATATATATATACATAAACATATGACATGGAATATTAATATTAAATATTAAATATTGAACAGGTTATATATGTGTAAAATGTACAACGTGGTTTTATTCCAAGAGAAGCTATGGAGCAGAGAGTTCTCTTCCAGCCAGAGGTGATTTATTGTACAGTGTTATTGCAGTGGGCAGGAATGTTTTCCAGTATCTGTCCTTGAGACAGTGGAGCTGCAGCAGTCTGTTGGAGAAGGAGCTCCGTTGACTCTCCAGCTGCAGGTGGAGAGGATGGGGGGGGTTATCCATGATGGACAACAGCCTGTTCAGTGTCCTCCTCTCCACCACAGCTTCAAAGGGTCCAGCTTGATGCCGATGACAGACCCAGCTTTCCTGATCAGTTTATTGATCCTGCTGGTGTCACCGGCTCTTATGCTGCCCCCCCAGCAGACCGCAGCAAAGAAGAGTGCACTGGCCACAACAGACTGGTAGAATCCAGTGAAGGGCGATGTGGTATAGCATAGGGCTGTGCGATTATGGCAAAAATCATAATCACGATTATTTTGGTCAATAATTGATATCACGATTATTAAATACGATTATTCATTGACTTTGAAAACATCCATTTATTGAACTTTAAAACAAATACAAATAATAATTTGAACAGTATCTTTTTAACTGTTGATTTCCCTGAACGTATAATTCAACTGAAAAACCAATACAAAAATAAATTAGATACATTTATATTTACATTTAAATAAATAATATCAAAATAATAAATACCAATAAACAAGATCAACAAATATTTTGGAGCGCACTTCAACAAGCTACTAAACATATATAAATATGATAAATACAAATAAATGAGACCAAAATTAATTAGATCAAATATGTTGCAGTGTCACAACCTAGCAAAGCAAAATAATCGTTTTTTACGATTATGTTGTTTTCGTAATTGTGGCAGGCCAAAATCGTAATTGCGATTAAAATACGATTAATTGCACAGCCCTAGTATAGCATAACAACTGTGTAGGCCATTAAGGCTACTAACAACTTTTATTACACGGCTTAGTTGAATACTCGATTCTGATTGTAAATTCTTAACATGTGACACGTTGTTAATACAGTACAGACCACTGTCAAGGACTATAATGAAGGTTGCTAAGGAGGATCAAGAAAGAGAAAGGAAAAGAGGTTAAAAGACGGAGCGCTGGACGTCAGATAAATCACCAGAAGAAGGCAGAGAGGAAGTAAACAATAACAGGAACACGGAATGGGCTCTGTAGTTTGTTTAGTATATGGCCGTGTAATAAGCGGGATAATGTGCAGCGAGGCGGTCATTATGGGGAAAAGAACACCCGACAGGCTGATCAGGGAACCCGATCTTGATGAGCCTGAAGGGTAAACACCAGGCTTACTAATCTACCCGCACAATTTTTCTCTGGTGTCGAAATGTCTCGCTATGTTGGTAAATTCTTAAAAAACAAAACACCATTTAATTTCGGGTTAAATGTGTTGTAACTGCGTTACTGAGAATTGTAACGGGTAGTATATTACCCAAATTTCATTAGTAATGCGTTACTTTACTTTGTTACAGCAAAAAGTAATACATTACTGTAACTCCGTTACTTTTGTAACGCGTTACACCCAACACTGATCACCACATGAAATGTTCCCTTAATGTGTATTTTTGACTTGATCACTACAATGCTGTCTGTAGAGGGCTTTTCATCTCATTGCTTTTATTTCAGGAACAATATTTCACTTGGAAACAGTTGAAAGGAAAATGTTCCTCCAACAACATCGAATGGAATATATCTGCTTCAGATAAACTATATTCTCTCTTATCCTCATTCTCTCTCTTACTATTATTTCTTATGTATCACTGTGCTTTAAATATCCTCCTTCTCTTCTCTTGCAGGATTCCGCAGCTGTAGAAAACAATCTGGATAATGGGGGACCAATAGGGATGAAACGAAACAGAACCATGGCTAGGGAAGCGTTTCGGATCCTTGTTGCTCTGAACCAACACTGACCTGGCACCCACACCGAGGTCAGGCCTCCTCCTCCGACACCCCGAGGACCCTTCTTTCCCCCAACAGCTGCTTTGCCCTCCATCTCACTCAGCACTCCTGGTCTTGATCAAACCTTCAAAAAAGCTCCACATGGTCTTTTAGGGTTAGGGGTGCTTCCAGACTGGTGGTTATAATCCCATATAAAGGACTGTATTTCTCCAGAACAGACTATAAGCAGTTGGCTGAACAGTACGCATCCAACCATGCAACCTCTTCCACTTGCTCGAAGTAAACAAAGGCAACGGGGTTTGTTGTCCAGGACGCTACCCCTTAGTCTCATGACAGACTGGTGCCTAATGGGTGTGCTCGGCCTCATCCTGCTCTGCAGCCTGGCTTCGAGCCAGAAGATGGACCCTTCCAAAAACCCCATAGTCACCACCAACTACGGCAAGATCCGAGGCATCAAGAAGGACTTGAACAACGAGATCCTTGGCCCTGTAGAGCAGTACCTGGGCGTCCCCTACGCCACGGCACCCATCGGCGACCGCCGCTTCCAGCCACCCGAAGCCCCGGGATCCTGGCAGGAGATCCGCAACGCCACCCAGTTTGCCCCTGTGTGCCCTCAGAACGTCCACGGCGTGCTCCCGGAGATTATGCTGCCCGTTTGGTTCACGGACAACCTGGACGTGGCGGCGGGTTACATCCAGAACCAGAGCGAGGACTGCCTCTACCTCAACGTCTACGTGCCCACAGAGGATGGTGAGTGGACTTTATTACATGGAGGATTTAGGGGGAGGCTGGGAGATGAGGGATTTAGTGGGTAACAGTGTGCAGAATGAACAGATGATTGACTGTTCGCTAAGCACCATCGCCTAAGTTACTTTTGCTATGCCTGTCAAGCTTTCCGTGCTCCTTGATTTCAGACAAGGGCAGAAAAATTCTCTTCTAGTTTCTCGCCAGTCACCGTCTATTTTTTCGGTTGAATTCAAGCTGGCAGGTAGGAGGTGGTTGGAAATGACTTTTTAATGTTTCCAGTTAGCTCGTATAAAATAAGAACCCTGTCAACATACGGAGTAATCCAAAGCTTGACAGGCCTACCCAGATACCGTTGCTAATCTGTCATTGGACAATCACTTTTCAGTGTCAGGGTTTAGCGAACGGTCAATTAGGACTACTCATAAGGGTGAGTAGTCATGGAAAGTTCACCTAATTTGAAAAACATGCCTTGTGATTGTTTTAATTATTTTGCAGGTTCATTACTTTACACTTTAAAAATTGCATATGAAGGGGGTGTGTGTGTTGCATAAAAAGGGAACAATATTTAAAATATTCCATTGTGGGTCAAAGAACTGTTCAATTTGGTTTTCACATTACATCCCATTCAAGGTGTTCTAAAGCAAGAGAACAAAGGCCAGGACTGAATCAGTTTCCAGGGGCTTTATAAGAAAAGGATTAGGTGATATTTTATTTTTCATACTTTTTTTTACCGTCAAGAACCCTCTTCTCTCATCTCAGATCTTTCCGCGGACGTTTTTGTCTGCCGGGGCTCTGTGTTAGCCAAAAAAAAGAGAAAAATTACCATTTTGTCGGCGTGTGCACTCTCTCTTTGCCTATCTTAAAGCGTGTTTCACATTTGTCTTTTCATTTCTATATCTAAGCTGCACAAAGCCATAACCTTTCACAGAGAGAAGGCTGTAAGAATCAAGTTTCCTATGCGGAAATCTTTTTTGGTTTGACCTCAAACAACTACAAGTCTTCAGAAAGAGCATTTTTTACAAGCACATATTATAACTCAAGTTTTGACATGTACAATTCAGCTAGAAAAGAATCCCCCACCTCGCATAGGAGAATCAATATCAACGTGTATGTCCATTTGTATTCTTCTATGCCTCTCTTGCTGTCTACGTGCACATCAGTGTTCATGTCAGTGTAGTGAGGAGCCACTGATTTCCACTTTTTCTTCACTCTAACACATTTCGGCCTATCTGTCAGCACTTCCATCACTCGACTGGACTTTTTTTTTTAGCCCCTCACAGCTCAACACCCTTCCTTCCTGCCTTCCTTCCTTCCGCCTCTCCACTCCAACACCACAGCCCTCAGCACCCCGTCATTGCCACTTATAGCTGCTCGGGCACGTATAGAGCACTATACAGTCATTTCCCCACAGCTTGTTTTTACAGTTTTTTGTGTTATACGACCCTGTGGAAATACAAGTGCCATAATACAGAGAGTCGCACGCAATCGCTAACACACTGTCTTTTTGGTGTACAGTGCACTCTCTGGAAATGTCACACAGGTGTAAAATAGTGACGTTCATTCCTTAATTTGAAGCATCAACGTAACATCATCAGCATAACACAATATGAGTGAGGGTGTGGGAATATGTTTAAAGGGGCCCTTTTATGCTTTTTGGGCTATTCCCTGTTCCCTTTGTTTACTTCCGTGACAAAGTGACATCACTATGTACTACTCAATTGGGCAACACATTGTACTTGATAGGCTTAAAGGGTGGAACATCTCTAAGTGGTTGACCAATCACAACAGAGCCATCCTGCTAACCAATCAGAGCAGACTGGGCTCTGGTTTCAGACAGAGGGTGAAAAAAGGTGCTGCAGCACAGGCAGTATGACACAAATAAAGACATTTTAGCATAAAAGGGCCCCTTTAATTAAATATACACATAGCTTTAACATTATGGCTTTATTTATTGTTAAAAAAAACTTGCATATTAACTTTTTTTTTACGTATCCCTCTTTATATCACTGGTAGATTGATGTTGGTCAGGTCAGGCATGACATTGCTAGCCTCAGCACTCCAGGGTTGTCTTTCTCTTTGCTCCGCCTTTCCTCTGCTTCTCCTCCCGCATTGATTTTAAGTCTCTTTTTTTTTTTTACACGTCCTGCTTGGGAGGGAGGGGAGGAAAAGAGGAAAGCAGACGAGCAGAAAAGGTTTTGGGCAGCAGATCAAAAAATCAGCCCTGGCTCGCTGTCCACAGGGACACACCACACCACATGAAGCTGAATATGTTCACATACTAACACACCCTTGCCCTTTTCTCTCGCCGGCGATTCCTCTTCTATCCTGCATGCTTTTAAATAATGAACATTGCATCTTGAAGTCTCCTGAGGCCTTTTACTTGTTTCCTTTTTATAGGGCACCCTTAAGACAGAATCCTTGAAAAAAAAACCTTCCTCATTTTAAGTGGATTAAGCCTGCAGAATTACTTCTTAATGCTCCCATCAGTGCAAACGGAGGAAAGTGGGACACACTGACATGAATGTGTGTTTGTTCACAGATAAACAAATACGCTAACATTTGGCGGTTACTCATGGCTCCTTAATTAATACTTAAGTACTTAGTAAGATGCTAAGCTAGCCATGTGTTGTCATTTCTTCATTAATTCCATGGTAGTCTGGTTCAATATGTGTCTAAATGTGTAATACTTAAGGGCAAAAAACAAGAAATGGAACATGACTTATTATCTTACAATAATAATTACACTAATTAACAAAATCAAATATTAAAATCACGGAGCAATACGTCTTGTTACTTACTTGACCAAATCTATGTTTTAACATTGCTCTCGACACGCTTAATGAATCCTTATTAATATATGTTTTAATAAATAGAGAAATTATGTTACGTTATACGTGCAAATACATAATAATCAGTTTGACCTAACACATTTATTTTGGGGTATTTCATTGCGTTATCCCCTAAGTTCGTTCAATAACGGACAGTCTTTGCTTCGCTTTACCAGCAACTCTGCAATCCATCAATGGTAATTGGAATACCACTGTAATGTAAATCGTTGACTACAAAGCCAGCTAGTTTCTGTGTCCCTGTGGTAAAACATCAGGCCTTAAGACCCAGGGGAACTGGTTAAACCCTCTGGCATGTTACTCCCTCATCAAATGCAGAAAGGGGAGGGAGGGGACTGTGCCGGTTCCCCTGCAGATGACATCCCATAAATCATATCGAGAGGTTTTCATCTGGCTCCTGCAGAGTCACAGTGGATCGATGGAAGAGGGGAAGGGGAGGGAAGGACCGGCCGATGCTGCTGCTGCCGCCGCCTCAGGCCCCGCAAACTAACCACGTGTTCTCTCAGCAGTCAGCAGCCATTAGCTCAGAGCAAGACTTCATGGTAAATAAGTAGCCGGGGCCCAGCATCCCTTAAATGAGAACTGGCTATAAAAGCATACAGGATCTCGTATGGCTGCCCTTTGCACAATTAGGCAGAGGGCATAGGAAGGATAGAGAAACCATCACTTTGATGATAGAAATGGGTTGCTTCTGGGTTTGTGTAGAAAGGCTTACTGCATCTTGTCAGTAGACTCAAAACCCCTGCTGAAAAGTCTACACCAGCTGTGTGGTGCCTTACTCACTGTGTGGAGTCTAGGCTTCAAAACATTGAGAACCGTGACCTTTTACCCTTTTGTTTTGCTACACACACATTTTCTGACCACATATCAAACAGTGCTCTCCATTCTTCCTTTGATTATTTTGCATAAGGTTATCTTTTGCATATTTTGTGAAGGTTATTTTCCAATACAGGGAATCACATTTGAAATGCACCATTTCCTAAAGGAAGTCATCGTTTTTGTTTTCGTCTATTCTTTCCTTCCTGTTCTTTCATACATCTTCCTGCCAATCCTAGTGCCAATTTCTGATTGGCATATTGATCATGCATATTATCAATCCATGTCCAACAACCCAAGACAAGCTTTCAGATGACCTTTTTGTTCAAAAACAATGTATCTAAATATGAGACTAGTGCAGTGGTTGGTATTTTGCGTATCAATAGTTCCCATTTTAACTTTTTTTCTTTGTTTGGTCCTTTTCCTGTAGTGTGTCCTATAGGTTTTCAATCAATCAATGTTTATTTATATAGCCCAATATCACAAATGTTACATTTATCTCAGTGGACTTCACAGTTTGTACAGAATATCAGTATGACAATACGACACCCTCTGTCCTTAGACCCTCACATCGTACAAGGAAAAACTTCCAGAGAAAACCCCCACAGTTTAAAGGGGAACATGGGAGAAACCTCAGGGAGAGCAACAGAGGAGGGATCCCTCTCCCAGGACGGACAGACGTGCAATAGATGCCGTGTGTAAATCGAAGAGATAATACATTTTACAGCATAGGTAGACCAAATGTTTGGAAATGCATGTGTCTATAATAAGAAGATGAATCCACGAGGATGTCAACAATCCTGTGGGAGCCTTCAGGGAAGTAGTATGATGAGAGTCAGGCAGGACCGCAGTGACAGGTTCAGCCACGACTCGAAGTCCAGGACTCAAATCCAGAACTCAGGATAGAGGATCCAGGACACAGGACCGCAGCAACAGGATCAGCCACGACTCAGGATCCCGGCGTAGATATAGACACCAAAAAGACATTTGGGGGAAGCTGGGTTATTCGGAACATGAGAGCACACAGGTACAGACGGAAGGAAGAAGTAAGGTGTCCCCCGACAGTCTAAGCCTATAGCAGCTAAACTAACGTGTCTACGTACATGCACTCCCTTAGGATAGGTTGAGGGAAAGGGGTAGCAAGTAAGAAGTAAGGAACAGAGGTGGAGAGGCACAACGTGTCTACGTACATGCACTCCCTTAGGATAGGTTGAGGGAAAAGAGTAGGAACTAAGATGTATGCGCCACATCTATACCATGAGCGCATTGCTCCTAAAAAGTTTTTTGGCACTGACACCAATCAACAGTGCCTGTAAACTCCCAAAGTTCCCTCCAGATGGA